AGACTAAAGTGCAGTGGCTACTCCCGGCCATCGCAGCCTCAACCTGCTGGGCTTGGCAATCCTTCCACCTCAGCCTTCCAAGTAGCTGGAACTACAGGCGCACACTACCACGCCCGGTAATTTTTGATTTATCGTAGGGGTGAGGTCTCGTCAAGTTGCCCTGGCAGGTCTTGAACCTGCGGGCTCAGGCAATCCACTCACCTCAGCCTCCCAAAGCGCGAGATTACAGGCTGAGCCACCAAGCCTGGCTTGGTATTAGATTTTAGTAGACAGAAGAATCTTTGAATTTGAAGATAAGTTAATTGAAATATCCAGTTTACAGATCAGAGTCTTAGAGACCTATGAGACAGCATCAACTACATCAAAATGCACAACACACACAGTATAATGGGAATAACAGAAGGAAGGGAGAGAGACAAGGGGTGGAAAGAATATTTGCTGTGGTCTGAATGTTTTCTTCCAAATATTTCTGAATGTTTTCCACCAAATGTTTCTGAATTTGTTTCTGCCAAATTTATATGATGAAATCCTAACCTCCAAGGATTAGGAGGTGGGGACTTTGGGTGGTGCCTACATCATGCACTTATAAAAGAGAAATGAGAGAGATCTTTTGCCCTTCTACCAGAAAATGCCCTTGCTAGATACCAACCCCGCCAGTGCCTTGATGTTGCACTTAGCCTCCAGAACTATGAGAAGTACGTTTCTATTACTTATAAAATACCCAGTTTGTGTATTTCGTTATAGCAGCCTGAACAGACTAAGATGACATTTGAAGAAATAATGCCCAGAAACTTCTCAAATTTGTTGGAAAAACATTAACCTGTACATTTTAAAGAAGCTCACAAACTCCAAGTAGGATGAATTCCACACCAAGACATATCATAATCAGACTTTTAAAAGTAAAGGGAAAACCTTGAAAGCATTGAGAGCTGGGCTCGGTGGCTCAGCCTGTAATCCCGCGCTTCGGGAGGCCAAGGTGGGTGGATTGCCTGAGCCCGCGGGTTCGAGACCTGCCTGGGCAACTTGGTGAAACCACATCTCCACAATAAATCAAAAAATTAGCCGGGCATGGTAGCGCATGCCTGTAGTTGCAGCTACTTGGAAGGCTGAGGCGGAAGGATTGCCAGAGCCCAGCAGGTCGAGGCTGCTGTGGCCAGGAGCAGCCACTGCACTCCAGTCTGGGTGACAAAGTGAGACTCTAACTCAAAAAAAAAAAAAAGCATTGAGAAAAATTATTCAACACTTACAAGGATCCTTGATAAGATTAACAGCTGATTTCTCATCAGAGACTGTGGTTCTAGAAGATGGTGGAATGACGTATAAAAAGTTGTCAATCAAGAATTGTATATCTAGCAATAATTATTTTTCAGGAATGAAGGAGAAATGAAGACATTTCCAGATAAACAAAAACTGAGTCATTGCTGGCAGACCTGCCTTATAAGAAATGCTAAAGGGAGTCCTTTAGGCTGAATGAGAGGACATAAGACTATCATTCAGAATCATATGAAGAAATAAATAACTCTGGTAGCTACCTCATTAAATATAGAAGTCAGTGTTTTAGTTTGGTTGTAGCTCCTCATTTTTTATGACTTAAAAGACAACTGTTTAAAACAAAAATTATAAACTAGGTTGATGGACAAACTACTTATAAAGATGTAATTTGTGACAATAACAAGGAGAGGAAAGAGCTGTATAGGAGCAAAGTTTTTGTATACTATTGAAATTGGTATTTATCTAATTTAGCTTTTTTTTTTTGAGTTGGTGTCACTGTCGCCTAGGTTGGAGTGCAGTGGCACACTCACGCCCACCACAACCTCAACCTGCTGGGCTTAGGTGATCCTTCTGCCTCAGCCTTCCAAATAGCTGGAACTACAGGTGTCTGCCACCTCACCTGTCTAATTTTTTTTTTTTTAGTAGGATTCTCACTCTGTCACCCAGGCTGGAGGACAGTGGCACACTCCCAGCCACTGCAGCCTCAACCTGCTGGGCTCAGGTGATCCTTCCACCTCAGCCTTCCAAGTATCTGGAACTACAAGCACATGCCACCTCTCCTGGCTAATTTTTTGATTTGTTATAGAGATGGGGTTTCACCAAGTTACGCAGACTGGTCTCGAAGCCCTGGGCTCAGGCAGTCCTCTCACCTCAGCCTCCCAAAGTGCTGGGATTATAGGTGTGAGCCACTGCGCCCAGCCTTGCCTGCTAATTTTTCTTGATTTATTTAGAGATGAGGCCTCACCAAGTTACCCAGGCTGGTCTCGCACCCTGGCTTAGGCAATCCTCTCACCTTGGCCTCCCAAAATGCTGGGATTACAGGCATGAGCCACTGCACCTGGCCTAAACTAGGTTTTTATAAATTAATATGTTAGCTGTAGTCCCCAGTTTAACCACTAAGAAAATACCAAAAAATATATAGTAAAAGAAATGGCAAGGAAATTGAAATTGGTACACCTACAAGTATCTACTTAACCAACTCTCCAAGTAAAAGGCTGGTATCAGCAGACTGTATTAAAAACCAACTATATGGTGTCTTAAGAGTTTTATTTTAGATTCAAATATATATATATGTGTGTGTGTGTATATATGTGTGTGTGTATATGTGTACACACACATGTAGTAAAGGATGAAAAAAGATGTGTGCAAACAGTAACCAAAAGCAAGCTGGAGTGCTAAACTGTGAGCAGCTACATTAAAATCAGACAGAATAGACTTAAGACAAAAATTGCTGAGAATCAAAGAAGGGCATTGTGTAATGATAAAAGGGCCAATCTATCAAGAAGATGTTACAGTTATAAACATGTATGCAACCTGACAACAGAACCTCAAAATACATGAAGGAAAAACTGACCAAAATTAAAGGAGATATACACAGTTCAACAATAATAGTTGGAGACTTCAATACCCTACTTTGAACAGTGGATAAAATGACTAGAGAGAAGATCATCAAGGAAATAGAAGATTTGAACAGCACTAAACCAACTAGATCTAACAGACATAATATAGAACATTCTACCCAACAACAGAATACATATTTTTCTCAAGAGCACATGGAACATTTCCATGGTTAGCCCATATATAGTCAAGACTGAAGTGACACAAAGTACAGTCTGTCCTCTGTCCACAATGCCATATTTATGGGTTCCATATTTGTGGATTCAACCAACTAGTGGTTGAAAATATTGGGAAAAAACATCCAAAAAAATCCAAAACATTAATAATACAACATAACAAGTATTTGCATTGTAGTAAGTGTTGTGAGTAATCTAGAAATGATTTAAAGTATGCATGCATAGGTAATATGCAAATATTATGCTGTTTTATAGAAGGGATTTGAGCACCCACAAATTTTGGTATCTGTAGGGGATCCTGGAACCAGTCTCCTATGGATACCGAAGGATGACTATACTCTTCAACCACAGTTAAATTAGCTTATAAGTAACAGAAGAAAGTTTGAAATTTTACAAATATGTAGAAGTTAAGCAAAATAAGTAATTTTAAAATATTGAAAGAAACTGAAGTCAGTCATATTTAGTGAAGAGGATGTGTATATATCTTTTAAAGCATAGAATAAAAAATATATATATATTCATATGACTGAAAATTTAAGAAAGGTTTTGAGCCAGGCTCGGTGGCTCAGCCTGTAATCCCGCGCCTTTGGGAGGCTGAGGTGAGTGGATTGCCTGAGCCCGCGGTTCGAGACCTGCCTGGGCAGGCGAGACCTCATCTCTACAATAAATAAATTAAAAAATCAGCCAGGCATGGTAGCGCGCACCTGTGTTTCCAGCTACTTGGAAGACTGAGGCGGAAGGATCGCCAGAGCCCAGCAGGTCGAGGCTGTGGTGGCCGAGAGCGGCCACTGCACTCCAGTCTGGGTGACTGAGTGAGATTCCAACTCAAAAAAAAAAGTTTTGATATTTGTATGGGTATTTATAATGATTATTCCAGTAAGTGTGTCTGTTGTCCCAGATTTTTGTTTCTCAGTGTTGATTAAACATTTTATAGTCATAAAGATAGCAAGTAATCAAAAAATGTATTCATTGCGTGATTTTTTTCCTTCATCAGACTAACTTTTCTGATTATATTTTATATGGATTTAGAAAATTGGTCTGTATTTCCCAAGTACAAGTTAACTGGCCCTTGGAGATGGTAGCTCAGATATATATTTAATTATTCCATGTTTTATGTAGGGAAGAAGTTATTCATGAATAAGCTGTATTTTTTTTTTTTACTATTTGGTAACAGCTCAAGTGTAAAGTGGGCTGATTCCATGTCATGTAGTAAAATATGCCATGTTGTTTATTGGTAATGATGGCAATTTAAAAATCTTTCTTTAATGGAATAATCAGAGAATGTTAAAACTAGTTATAAAAACCTTCAAAAGTATCCTTCCTTTAGAGTTAGCATTGAGAGTCTTTTATCTAAATTTATTCTTATTTATTTTTCTCACATTCTGTTGCTGTCTGTTTGTAGCTGCAGTCGTTTTAATAAGTTTTAGAAAAGTAACAGCTATTTTTCTTTTTCTTTCTTTTTTTTTTTTTGAGTTGGCTTCTCACTCTGTCACCCAGACTGGAGTGCAGTGGCCGCTCCCGGCCACCGCAGCCTTGATCTGCTGGGCTCCGGTGATCCTTCCACCTCAGCCTTCCAAGTAGCCGGAATTACAGGCATGTGCTACCATGCCTGACTGATTTTTTGATTTATTATAGAGATGAGGTCTTGCCAAATTGGCCAAGTGGGTCTCGAATCCGCGGGCTCAGGCAATTCACTCACCTCAGCCTCCCAAAGTTCTGGGATTACAGAACAGCTGTTTTTCTAGTGGGAAACTTTTAGTTCTTTTAGTCTTTGTTAATATGCTAAAAGCTAAGTAGCTTTTCATATTTATCTGAAAAGAGACAAATGTGCACATAAGAAAACTTTTTAGTGTATATTAATCAGAGGTTCTTTACATATTTACAAAGTACTACAAGCTAAATTTGAAATATTTGGCACATGTTAATTTCTTTTAGGAGAAGGAAGTCAGCATCCTTTTGGAGCCATGAATATTGTCCGAACTCCATCTGTTGCTCAGATTGGAATTTCAGTGGAATTATTGGACAGTCTGGCTCAGCAGACTCCTGTAGGCAGTGCTGCCGTATCTTCAGTTGACTCATTCACTCAGGTAATGCAATACACATTTCATTCTTTACCTCCTCTCCTCCCCCACTTTGTTAAGGTTAATTGACAAATTATAATTAAAATCATATATATTTGTGTACAATGTGATGTTTTGATAAATGTTTACATTGTGGAATGATAAAATCAAGCTAGTTAACATATTACCTCACATACTAATTTTTTTTTGAGTTGATGTCTCACTTTGTTGCCCAGGCTGGAGTGCAGTGGCATGCTTACAGCCACCACAGTCTTGATCTGCTGAGCTCAGGGGATCCTTCCGCTTTAGCCTTCCAAGTAGCTGGAACTACAGGCATGTGCCACCATGCCTGGCTAATTTTTCTTGATTTATTGTAGAGACGAGGCTGTGCCACGTTGCCCAGGCTGGCCACGAACCCCTGGACCTGGGCAATCCTCTCACCTCGGCCTCCCAAAGTGCTCGGATTATAGGTGTAAGCCACTGTGCCCCACCTGCTTATCATTTTTTATAACGAGAACACTCAAGAGCTAATGTCCTAGCAAATTTTATCCAAGTATACAGTACATTATTATTGACTGAATTCTCCATGCTATACAATAGAGCTCCAGGATTTATTCATCCTGTCAAACTGAAACTTTTTATCCTTTGACCAGCATCTCTCATTTCCCGTTCCTCCACTCTAACCCCTGGCAACCACCATTATACTCTCTGCTCTGTTTCTATAACTTAAGACTTTTTAGATTCCATTTGTAAGTGAGATCATGCTGTATTTGTCTTTCTGTGCCTGGCTTATTTCACTTACCCTAACATTGAGAGGAAAAAATTGATGATGTGGGAGAGCGGGTAGAATTGCTAAAGCAGTATCTTTGAGTAGAAAATAGCAGCAGGTATGGAGATGTTCACTTTTTTTTTCTTTGAGTCAGAGTCTCACTCTGTCACCCAGGCTGGAGTGCAGTGGCATGCTCACGGCTACCGCAGCTTTGACCTGCTGGGCTCAGGCGATTCTTCTACCTCAGTAGCTGGAACTACAGATGTGTGCCACCACACCTGGCTAAGTTTTTGATTTAAGAGACAAGGTCTTGTCAGGTTGCCTAGGCTGGTCTTGAAACCCTGGACTCAGGCAATCATCTTGCCTCTGCTTCCCAAAGTGCTAAGATTACAGGCGAGGTGTTCACTTTAGATAGGACAGTGGGTACAGATCCAAGAGATTGGTAGCTGTGGTGATGAAAAAATTGGTCTAGGCTTTCCCTGATTCCTTCTCTTTGCTCAGTGAAGTAGGAAGGAAGATCATCAGCTAAGATTGAGAGGAAAGGAGATATTGGAATTATAAATAAAAAGGGTTATTAAATTAGTCCTCTAGGAGAGGAGAAGGGTGAACATACCAGGGAAACCTTATGTATTGGTTGGGCATGACAAAGTAGATGGTATTAGAAGTATCTGGGAAATACACAGCAAAGTGTTGTTATACCTGCAGAAGGGTAAAAACAATCTTTACTGTAAATATATATACATTATTTTAGCTTTTTTGTAAACCATGTATATATTTAATTAACATTTTTTAATGAAATATCTTAAATACACAGAAAGTACAGAGAATAATTTATGCATTTCACAAATAGTGTATCTCCTCTGTGCCTGACATTTCCTAAGCACAAATAGTTACAAATGGATAGACAAAGTAGAGTAAGACCTTTCCTTATAGAGATCTCTTTTTCGTGGAGTTTATCTTAAGACTTCTGGTGTCTTCCACGTACTGTTATATTTTGTTGCATTTGCTGCTAATTAAAAAAAAAAAATCATTACAGGTATAGCCCACTGTTGTCTACTTCTCTTCCTCCCTTTTACCTTCTTACTTTATGTATCTTTCCTATCCATATTTTAGTACTTAAAATTCCTGTTTCCACAAAATATGTATAATGCTATTAGTGTGTACTTAAACATGTTTCTAATTTAAATACTTAGTTACTCTTATTTAATTTAAAGTTTATCACAGCATTGCATGTATTTGGTTTAAATCATCAAATAGTTTTTTATGCAAAACAGATGTCTTCTGTTATAACTCTCATATCTTACTCTTGTTCTTCTCAGAAGCTATCCTATCACTTCCAACTGCCTTCCCCTTCTACCCATTTTTTCCTAGTGTTTACTACTTCCATGTATCACAAAAAACCTGCTTAATATGTTATTTATTTTTTCTGTTTTAGATGTTTTCCACTGACTTACTGCTACTAGAAGGCATGATGATTGTAACGCCCTCTCCTGCTCCTCAACATACACACACTTCTTTTCTCCCCACCTTCCCAATATACATTTTTGTTAAATTAATATTCAAAGTTTTCAATGTTATGACCAAGCATATATTTTTCAGAACTGAGCCATGTGTAGTACAATAATTACATTTTTATATAATTTTTCATGTGTCTCATTTTTTCCTTTGGATTTTTATGTTTCCGTTTCTAATTTATCCCCAAACTCTGCTAAGTGTACTTTCTCATTCAACATATTTAAACATAACAGTTTCACAATGGTTTTGGAAAACATCTCTCTTGGAATTCTCCTTTTTTTTGTTCTAAAGTTGACTGACTATTCTCTGAACCTGTTGCATAGCTGTAGTCAAGATATTTTCTTTCACCATTGCCATTATATCTCATTACTATAGAAATTCCTTTTATTTCTCTTATGTATTAAATGCCTTGTTTTTATGGTTTCTGTTTTTTCTTGTTGATTTATTATTTTGAATGTTTTACAAATGAATATAAATGGTGTTATTCTGTACAGCTTGCTGTTGGTCACTCAGCATTATTTTTTAAGACTTACCTATGTTGATACTTGGAATAAATTTAGCTTGTTTTGATTGTTATGTAGTATGCCATTTTATAAATGAGCCACATATTTGCTTTCATTTCCATTTCGATAGATGTTCATATATTCTCGCATTTATCAGACCTTAAAATTTTGCCAAACCATGGGTGAAAATTAGAGTCATATTTAAATTTGCATTTCTTGATTACTAGGGATATTGAATATCTTTTCACATTTTGGGCTGCATTATTATTTCCTTTTATAGAAATTGACTATATTTTGTCCAGTTTTCTCTTGTACTTCTTTTGGCACTTTTTAATTTTGTCTTTTGGAAAGTGGCCTTTATGTATTTTGAATAATAATCCTTTGTTAAATACGTTATAATTTTCTCCTTCTAGCATGATGCTTTTTATATTGCTTATGGTGTTTTTACATACAGATATATTATATTTTTATGTATATAAGCTTATTAGTTGTTTCCTTTATGACTTGTGGGATTTTTTAAAAAATATTTGAGAGAGAAATCTTCCTCTACCCTGATATATGAAGATCTCTCTCTCTTTCTCTCTCTCTCTTTTCTTTTTGGTGAAGATGGGGTCTTGCTATGTAACCCGCTGATCTTGAACTCCTGGCCTCAAGCAATCTTCCTGCCTTGGCCTAAGATGTTCTCTTACAGTTTTTAAAGCCCTAAAGTTTTATTCTTTGTTATGTTTTTAAGAGGTATAAGAAGGGATTTAAATTCATCTTTTTTCCTTACGGAAAACTAGTTGTAGTAGTCCCATTAATTGAAGAGTTAATTTTATTCTTTTTTTCTTACATAATAGCATCTTTGTTATATATCAAGTTGTCACATATACTTAGGTTTGTTTCTAGGCTCTCTCTTTTATTCCAGTTAGTTCTTTGCCTGTCTCTTTGCCAGTAAGTCTTAATATCTGGTAGAGATACTTCCTTCTCCTAGTCATCAAAATAGGCTTAGGTATTCGTCATACTAATTTTATCAGTTTATTGTGGTCCAGAAAATAGTATCAGCTTGTCAGATTTCAGGAAAAATCTTGTTGGAATTTTGTTGGAAATGTTATTGGATTTATAGGTTTAATTTGGGGAGAGCTTGCCACCTTTACCACCTTAACAGTAAAGTCTCTTGGATTATATTATCTTCATATTATTGAACTACCAAAAACCCTAATAAGATAATTATTTCTCTTGTGTAGAGAAGACATAGCAGGAAGCTTTATGGCTGGCTTTGCATTTTTGAGAAAGTGATGCTGGAAAGATTATTTTTGAGTGAGTAGAAGGTAGTATTAGTTTTCTCAGGGAATATGAATCCATTTACTTCTAGCTTCTTCCTCGGAAGCTTGGAGGATGTTAGTGAATCTGACCATTCTAGGGTCAAGAAAAAGAAACAGGGAATAGAGGAAATGGAATAGTGCTACCTTTCTCTTTACAATGATGGGGAGTGGTTTCTTTCCTACTGCAACTGGTTATTGTTCATTTATCATATTTAAACTCTTACCTTTCTGGCAAGAAAAAGACTTATTGCAGATAGTTTCTATTTTATTTGAGAAAACACGTTGATTTGAGGAGGGTGGCATTTGAGATTGGGGACATCGTGGATGCAGATGTGGAGATAAAAGAAGATATTTTGAAGACAAAAAATATTTTTCCAAAGTGTTTCACAATGTCATTTTATGGCAACCATGAACTTTTAGTGTTAGACTGTCTTAGAACTTATAGTCCTTAAAACCAAGTTAATGTGGGAACATTTTAATTTTAAAAATATTGAGGTCTAAATGGAGCATTTAATGTAATCTATTAATCTATTATTAACTTTTTAGTTCACACAAAAGATGTTGGACAACTTCTACAATTTTGCTTCATCGTTTGCTGTCTCTCAGGCCCAGATGACACCAAACCCATCTGAAATGTTCATTCCAGCAAATGTGGTTTTGAAATGGTATGAGACATTGTCTGTCTCTAATATTGAGACTTTTAGTAATTGAATATTTGTTTTATCTATGAATGTATTCTTTCTTTGACATTTACACATATTCTTTTGTTTGTGGACATCAGCATACATTAACATTTGCATGCCATTAAAGTATGTACTGTAGAGTTCACATCAAGAACAGGTTCTTATCCTGAATATTCTGTTATATAGTAACCATTATGAATTCATAACAACAGGAAAATATAATTGCCTATTTTAGGGACCACTTGTAAAGGATTGTAAATATTTTTATATTTTGACTTGGAAGTACCATATATGAAACCTGAAATATCAATCAAAACTTTTCTCCTTAAATATAAAAAGTCTTGCTTACAGTATGTACGTATATTTAGGGTGTTTGGGTGGTTTAAACTGCACCCTGAATATGAAGAATGAATAAATCTGTTTCCCCAACTTTCTCATGTTTCTGCTTTATGAGTATTTTTTTCACTTTGAATATCCAAGTGCTGGGTGGTTGCTTAGAAAGAGTTTGTTGAGAAGTGGTACCATGGTGTAGTGTGGAGAGCACTGGAATGTAGTGGATTTGATCTTTGTGACAGTGTAGTTCATCTGTGAATTGAGAAAGTCAGGAGTTCAGTTTGATTTTTTTTCTGTAGGTTTCTTCTAGTTCTCAAATTTGTGTCAAATTCTTACAGTTTGTGCTCTCTGTTAGAAGCTAAGCAAACTTGCTGTCATATTTAAATTACTTTGCTTGCTATCTTTTTATAAGAATAATTAAGATTCCAGATTATCTTTTCTAACTTTTTAATAGCTTTTTAAGAAATGACATGTAACATTATTTTTGATAAGTCATTTAGCAGATTATGAAGGATCCTATTTTAATTTCATTGTAAATATCTGTGTTTTCTTTTCTAGGTATGAAAACTTTCAAAGACGACTAGCACAGAACCCTTTCTTTTGGAAAACATAATTTGAATAAAATAATTTTTAATGGATTCTGAAATTTGTCATGTTTTGAAGATAAATGACTCCATTTAAAAGCATGAAGTCAAAAGAATCATGAAACCCAAGTTTAAAAACTGCTTAGTATGTGGAGCTTAATTAAAATCTTTATACAAAATTAAAAACATTGAAAAATGAAAGTATGTTTATCATCAATGACTTTCCCCTCCTTAAGCTTTAAATACTTTGAAACCATTTTGTTTTGGCTATTCACTTTTTACTTAAAAATAAAGCTTATTCATGACAGTAGTGTGCCAGTGCCATTGCATGTGTAATCTTTCATTTATTTTTACAGTAGTTTGCTAGGTTGGTTAACTTTAAGTCAACGATCTCAAAATTTGAGTGAGCTTTTGAAAAATGTATCAAATATACATTTTTAAATATGGAAAAATTGGCCAGGCATGGTGGCTCATACGTGTAATCCCAGCACTTTGGGAGGCCAAGACAAAAGGATCACTTGAGACCAGGAGTTTGAGACCACCCTGGACAACACAGCGAGACCCCTTTTCTACAAAAAATTAGCCAAACATTATGGCACATTCTGTAGTCCTAGGTTCTTGTGTGATTGAGGGGAGGATCACTTGATCAAGCCCAGGAGTTCAAGGGTGCAGTGAACTATGATCATCATGTCAGGGTACTCCTGCCTGGGTGACAGAGTGAGCTCCTGTCTCTAAAAAAGATAAAATAGTTTTTAAATATGGAAAAATTATTTTCAGGGAGTATTTCTCTTAAGATTAGAAAATTTAAAAATTAACACAGACTGACTTTTTATATCTGCAGATTCCTACATTTTTATTTGTTTAATAAAATTGCTATGATTAATACTGATGAACTTTTCTAAAATACTGATAATGTTACTACTAGGCATCTGTGTATAGAATATAGGATTCTTCTCATTAGTGGATGATCATTATTGTATTAGTGGGTTTCTGCTGATTATAACAAAATAACTGAAACTGGGCAGTTTATCAAGAAAAGGAATTTATTTACTATAGTTGCTGAGAAGTCCAAGATTGAGGTGCCACATCTGGTGGAGAGCCTTTTTGCTGGAGAGGAACTCAAGCATTCCAAGGTGGAGGGCATCACCTCATCACATAGGTTGTGTGCCAGATCAGGTCTCCTTTCCTCTTTTTTTTTTTTTTTTTTGAGTCAGAGTCTCACTCTGTTGCCCAGGCTGGAGTGTAGTGGCATGCTTATGGCCACCACAGCCTTGACCTACTTGGCACAAGCAATCCTTCCACCTCAGCCTTCCAAGCAGCTGGAAGCACAAGCACGTGCCACCACGACTAGCTTCTTTTTAAAATTTATTTTGGAGATGATGTCTCACCGGGTTGCCCAGGCTGGTATCGATCGGTCAGACAGCTCTCTCCTCTTGGCCTCCCAAAGTGCCAGGATTATAGGTGTGAGCTACCGCCTGGCTGCTTTTTCTCTTCTATTTTTTTTTTTTTTGAGTTGGAGTCTTACTCTGTCACCCAGGCTGGAGTGCTGGGGTGCACTCACGGCCACTCCAGCATCCACCTGCTGGGCTCTGACGATCCTTCCACCTCAGCCTTCCAAGTAGCCAGAATGATAAGCATAGGCTACTGGACTGGCTGATGTTTTGTCTGTTGTAGAGACAAGGTCTCACCAAGTTGCCCGGACTGGTCTTGAACCCGCGTGCTCAGGAAATCCACTCGCCTCTGCCTCCCAAAATGCTGGGATTACAGGCTAAGCCACCGAGCCTGGCCTCCTCTTATAAAGCCAGTAGTTTCCTCCATGATAATTTATTACTTTAGGAGCACAACCCTCATGATCCAATCACCTCTTAAAGTCTTCACCTCTCGATACTGCCATGTTGGGGATTAAATTTCAGCATTAGTTTTGGAGGGAGCAACCATTCAAGCAAAAGCAATTGTTGAATCATGAGCCTTGGCTTGGCTACAATATTCTGAACAGACGGCGTCAGCCAGTTATACACTGCAATTACCAGAAGCAAGATGATTATTCATGTACTAGAACTTGTACCAGGGATCTAGATCATCAAACCAAAGGTACAAAAATGTCCCAAAGTCCAATTGTGTCTAGAGTCAGCCTCTCTAGCCTAGTCAAAATCTGTTCTACCTGTCTAGTTATAGAGGTACAACAGGAAATATTAACTAAACACAAACTGCCAAGAAAAAATCAGACTTTGTGTCCACAACATTCGGGTAGTGAATTTAAACTGGTTTGTTGTGCTTCCAGTGCAGATAATGGGAATCAAATTTTGGACCACATTTTCTAGTATTATTTTTGCTGTTGGAATAGTCTCTTGCACAGTATATGTAAAGAGAGTCAGTTATCACTTCTGGGAGCTCTCCTGAGTAGTCTAAATCTGCCTCATATTGGAAGTTTCTGGTTTTCCTTCTCAGAGAAACATGGTACATGTTTTAAAATATCTGAACATCTCTTAACAGTTATTCTATATATGCAAGGTGGTTTTGTGTGTAGGAGGTAGGTGAAAGCCTGGTGTTGATGTGAGTAACCCACAGTGTGTCACAAAAAATACTGGGAATATAAATATCACAATGGGTGTAAGCCAATAATTGCGTCCTTGGAGTGGTCACATTCTCAATGAACTTAAATGGTTCCTGCAGAGAAATGTGAAAAATCTTTGGCGAAAACTGGCTGGTGCAGTGAGGCTAGCTCTGGCATTTGTCTCCTCCCTGGTGAGCTTGGATCTGCTGACAGTGCTGTAATGAAGATTGGGGTCAAAGATATGAAGAAAATTAAAGTATCAGAAAGGACCCATGGGAAGAATTTAGACTCCCTGAGTTTAAGAGTACAGCTATTCAATTTTTTACAGTGGAATTTGAAAGCTTCAGAGTAGCCATGGTTTGGGGAGAATGCTCAAAAGTCTTGCATTTCTTACGGCAGCCAAATAAGACTGTAAAAGTTTAAGAATAAAAAAAAGATATCGGGACTACAAAAAACCCTGGAATTTATAAAAAGTTGTGTATTCTTACGTGTTTAAACTTCAATCACCTTCAAAATACTCTCCATTTGATGCAATACACCTATGGAGACATGTTTTCCATTATTCAAAACAGTTTCTGAACTCGTCAATTTTGATGCATTTTAGTGCTTCTGCCATTTTCTGTTTGACCTCTTCTGGGAAAATGTTTCCCTTTGAGGATTTTTTTCATCTGGGGAGACAAAAGTTGCTTGGGGCAAAATTGGTGGGAGGGTGAGGCATGTGGGTCATGCTGGTTTTGGTCAAAAACTACTGAATACTCGGGGCGGTGTGGACACATGCATTTGTAAATCACCATCATGAAGTGGGCAAGTGCATTGACTCTCCAAAAAAAAAAAAAAAATGAAGCCAAACACAGCTTCTCACAACAACACTGGCTGGTACACTGATACTGATAAGTTCCTAGAATACTAACCTAGTGGGGGAAGCCTGTACCACAAGGGGCCTGATCTCCAAAAGATAATTCTGATTTTTGGGGGGGCAGGGAGGAGTTTCCCCTCATAGATGAGAGTACATTGAGAAACCTTTAGGTGATTTCTAGGGGGGGCCAAACCATAATAAGAAAGAGAAAGGAGCAAAGGTATCAGAAATTAATCTTCCATATTGTCTTGAGAAGAAGCGGATTACTTTCTACTGTCATTTGCTTGATTTGAGGGTTTGATTAGTCGTCTTTCACCAAAGATGTTGGCTTCCGGAGGATTCCTAAGAATCACTGGTTTGAAGTCTCCTGATGGAATGGTTGTCCTGCTGTCTTGGAGAAGGCACTTGCCATTTAGTTGAGAAACATCCAAAGATCATCATCTTGATGCTTAATGCCATGCTAGTTGTTACAGTATCTGCTAAATTAATTTTTTCATTGAGGGTAGTTTTTCTATGATGTCTCTTCCAGAAGAAGTTTGCTGATAGTTGAGGATGTTATAGGCAATGATGTTTTTGTAGAATGGAGGAGAGTACCATCCACTATTGAGGTATAACACAATTTATAAGAATTTATTATGAGAGTACATCATATTATGGACAGTGTAGACAGCGACAATTCTTTAGGTTTGTAATTAATCTCATAGAGTGTGTCTTTTTGTAGATAGTTATTGTGTCAGTCTTTACCTGAACATGAATATGTTCTTTTGACCTGAAATGTACACAGTCACTGAAACATTTTTGTTAACAAATTTTACTTAAGCATAATTTAATCTGAAAAGGCCAAACTCTTGATTTGTCAAGTTTTTTTCAATCTAATTTTTTTAAAAAAGCTCTTAAAATAGTTTTGGATTCATTAAGAGTTGAAGAATGCCAAACAAACTTAATTTTTCCTATTTTCTTCCATAAGGTGAAGGAAACCCAAAGAGTTCAGGCATCAAAAAATCTTAACAATCTTATTATTCCATAAGTTTGGGAAAGGCAAAAAAAGTATAAATAAAAGTATAAAAGTAAATAGTCGTCAGTGGAGACAAGATATGAATAAAGTAAAAAATATCTGAAGGCAAATTGTCTCGGCCAATATCTATATTCAGCATACTACCAAAAATAATCAATGCCATCTACCATCTGTGCCCAATGGATTCATTTTAAAAACTGGTTTAAAGTCACTTTTTGAATAATTTACTGAAGAAAAAGTAAAGTGATATTAAGGAATTATATTAACAGTTTTAAATAACGAGAAACATGGATATTGCACTCTACACTTTCGTAGTTTTGACAATATCCCCAATATGGACAATGTCTTCTTAATGTATACAAGACTTACCAACTTGCACACAAACCCAGAACATATTCATTGTATGAATGTTGGTTCTATATTTCAAATATATTAGGTTCTTTTGAGAAATATGCTTACCTGTCCAAACCCAAAGAATGAACTTGGAGATATGAAGAACAGCAAAACTGAGACTTTTAATGGCAGTTTTGCAAGATTGGGTGTCTGGTGGGCAGTTGCACCCAAGGTGGTTACAAGCTTCTTATTTCCTAGTGTGCAAATTCTTCCCCTGGTTCCTCTTTGACTGAGTAATACAGAGGTCACAGTTTTTTCTGGACATCACCTAAGCAGTTTTTGGTACAAATAAGGTTAAAATAAGTACTTGTTTCTATTTGGAGGGTTTCAGCTTTCTTATTTATTTATTTGTTTGTTTGTTTATTTATTTATTTAGAATTGGAGTCTCACTTTGTCATCCAGGCTGCAGTGCAGTGACACGGTCATGGCCACTGCAGCCTTGACCTTCTGGACTCAGGTGATCCTTCCACCTCAGCCTTCCAAGTAGCTGGA